ATAAGAATAGTAAATAAGCAGAGTGAATAAGAAGAGTGAATAAGAACGGTGAATAAGGAAATGAATAAGAAAAATGAATAAAACAATGAATAATGATAGTGAATAGTGATAGTGAATGAGTTTAGATAAGTGTGAATTAGATGAATAATAAAGGAGATGTGAAAGGAACATTGAATATAGGATGTTTAGATATGTATATGTATTGGATGAAATAGATGAAATGAGTGGAATAGGTTGAATGACTGAGTAGTAGAAGAATGAAAATGAGATGAAAATGAAAAATGAAGAATTGTAATACGGATTATGGGTGAAATATGATGAGTGTTAGGAGATTGAGGAGATTAAGTATTGGAGATTTCAAGAAGGCTGCGGGAATGAGGAAGCTGAGGGTAGGATAGACAGGAGAGATGAGAAGATTGAAAGGTTGGCAAGGGGAGTGAAGGAAATTAGAAGTTAGTAATAAAGAGATCTAGTAAGTTAAGTGAATAGTGAAAGATATAAGATTGTAGTATGGATTGTAAAGAAGTTGGAGATGCTTCAAGGAAGTAAAGAGGTGAAAAAATAGAGGAGATGGAAAACTATTAGATTGAAAGCTTAAAGATGAAAAAGGGGAGTGGTACTTAGGCATTTGTAGTATGGAGCTGTAAATATATGAAATTTGATTCTGGGTTTAATTTATAGTAAAAGTATGACAACAAGAGAGGTAAAAATGGAAGTTTTGCCTGGGTAGTTGGAAAAGAGTTGTGGGAGACGAGAAGTGGTTATTATACCAGTATCTTTGCGGGTTTCTTATAGCTTGTGTATGTCGGAAGGTGTTGGGTGTCTTTTTCTATGTTGAATTAGATGATCAGAGTACGTATTGTTGTATATTGAGGTTGTATAATCATATGATTTGATTTGAAGCCTACTAGCGAAAGAGGAAAACGGTTCTTGCTCTCCTTGTCTGTATAGTAGAGGGGAGAATAGCAAAGAGAATAAAGAAAGGGGATGTAGTGGAAGGAGTGTAGTTTGAGTTCTTTGATCGAATGAACTAGGTTCCAAAGACAGTTTGCATAGTACATACATACTAAAGTGTACACGGGATACATCAGTATACTTAATCCCTAAAAGACAATATATATAAGACAGTAGAAAGAACGAATAGATCTTATTCGATGTGGAGATGGCGTAAATTGAAGGTTCTTGAAGATAATGTTGACTAGATTGTACCTTGTTGTATTGGATTGCTATTTGAACATTAAAAGATCGATGATGACGATTAGTCTGATTGCCATTACGCTTCAACGTGAAAGGAAAAGATGATAACTATTACAGTATGTGCGAATCTTACGTTCTCGTATATATCTTCACAGCGTTCCAGAAGTCTCATCTTCAGGGAAAAATTCGATAGATATATCATGGGGAATTGAATATCAGAGCACTGAAGCGTGAGGCTCCTCAAAATTGACAGATATAGAAAGTATGTAGGAAACAATAGAACTCTCCAAGTGGGAAACCAAATAAGCAACAATCCCTTAACTTGAAGAAAGCTTTGAGGAAGGAGAGAGGCGAACTGTTAGATGTACGTATACCCAGGTATTGATAGTCACAGGGAGCAACGGATATATGAAGCCGAAGGAGATGGCCCGAGGATTCCGGATAAATGAGGGGCGGGTTGCATATGGGTAAGGATTAAAATTTCAGAGCGAAAATCCGAACACGTGTAGCCGTGAGGTATGGCCATCTGGATGGGAATTGAGCGGGTACTTCGACCACTTAATTCTGTTTCGGTGACGTAGTGAAGGGGTAGGAGGGTGGATGTGGTGGATTTGATGAGTAGAATTAATGGGTCGAGGGAATGAGTATAGTGAAAGTGTGGAGTGAATTAATAGAGTGAATGGAACGAGTGAATGGGTAGAATGAACAGGCAAAACAAAGAGGTACGACGAAGGGGTAAGACGAAGAGGTAGAATGAAGAGGTAGAATGGATGAGCAGATTGACTGGGTAGAATATAGAGAAAGAAATATCCCTGGAAGGGGGCAAGATTCAAACTCTACTTTTCTGCGGTGTTTTCCTTGAAAAGAACCGGCTTACACGCAAAAGAAAATTGACGAGAGAATTTAAAGAAAGACCAACTCGAAGGACTTTGCTGCCCCCTTTCCCTCTCCTAAGACTTCCTCTTCGATACCCGTCTTTAGATCAATCATGTTGAAAATCGATTCAATCAATTTAATTAAACCTAAATCCACGTGATTTCACCCCTTTTGTAATGTTCCTAACCCGGTAAATTGTCACTCAACCGCCTTCTATCGCCTCCCCCAAGCTTTTACAAAAGAACTTTTTCCAGCCAGCTGAGCAAACTTAATCTTGATTATCTTCACGCATTACAAGTTATCCCTCGCAAGGTGGGAGAAGCAATGTTACTGTAGCAGTAGCTGTGGAGATCGTATTGGATGAAGAGTCGTTGTCACTTGTCATGATGGGGCTGAGTTTATATGTATGGGGTGGTGAGTGGAGTGGTAAGTCGTAAGATTTAACGTGCCGTCTTGGCATGCATGGGGGCCGCGGCGGGTTGGCGGTTAATCACATTCTTTAGCGAGGAGCAGGGGATGGATTTTCTGCGAGAAAATGAGAGCTAAGTTAACCGTGCCAATTATATGGGGGTTGGATATTTTGCGTCGTTGGAGGGGTTTAAGCTTATTCTTGTACAGGATCTTGTGGTTTGCGGGCTTTCTGACGGCCAACTTGGGTTGAATTGGATGGGACTGAATTGGCAGGGGTTAAGGTGGGTTTCAATATTGGGTTGCATTTGGTCGTGAAGTGTTTGCGGGGTAGGTAGCTGCTAAATTTTCTAAGAGGATAAGACGAGGCTGAAATTTTTAGAGAGGAGAAAATCAGGGTTATCATTGGAGTTTACGTAAAATTATTAATTCAAGTTGACAATGTCGTTGAAACATCGAAAAAGGAGTGCGCTTATGTTTGGTTCATGATATGATTCATGAAATTAGGAACTATCATATCTGTCAGTAAATGATACGCTGTGGTGAAACTCAATTTGAACACATATGAGGGTTTTGATAGAAATAGGATTCAGCCTGTCGTTTTTATTACATGGATATCTATAAGACAAGGAGGCCATCTACGTAGGTGGAAAATTGTTAAGCTCTTTTTATTTTATACGAGTTGCATGAGAATGCTTGAGCTTTTGATGAGTAAAAAAGGAGTTATATGAGCGGTTAGCGGAGTTGACTACTGACGACATAAACAGCCAGGACGGACTAGCGGATACTACTGCAAGAGCGGGGGCGGGCTCGGGATTAAAATGTGCGCATCCGTTAACTAATCGGTGAAGATCAGAGTGACACGACTTGATTTAAAATTCGAATGATTGGATGGGGATATTAAACCGTGATAGACCCATTTGGGAATGAAGAATTGGCATTCAAACCTCTTTTAGAATCATGATTCGGGTTTAGGCCTTTTCAAGAACAGAAGTCTAGCACTACGCTAATGCACCACATTTTAGGTTCAGCTTTTGAACGTCAAGCCTCAAATTTTGACAGATCCTTGTGGAAATCATAGTAGTCGATGGAGATGATACGGATACCGGGAATGTCAATCAATGGAAATACAATTGTACTTTCAATGAAGTTGAGATTGAGAACTACATGACTTCTTTTTGTTAGTGCGGACTTGCGACATGGAGTAATCCTATCAGAGACACCCGTGCTGTCTATTATGCATACTATAGAGAGGATATCTGGGCCATCAACACTTTTAAGTTTTAATGATTGAAGTTTATCTGTTCCATATTTAGCTTTAGATTTCATGCATTATCTGTCTCCACCGTGAGCCATAAAATTGCGGGGATTACACGGTGCTTTCAACGGGGTGGAGATGGAAAACGGGAATACCTGTCACTACGACTTTATTAAAGTAAGTAACGGTAGATTGACTGTATGCAACACATGAGCTCCGTATGATAGACCCCCTCAACAAGTGACTGAGTTGGTCAAATGAAGAGGTGGATTCTTCATCTTCGCCAATCATCATAAAGGAAAATCTTTCGAGAGAAATCTGTAGGCTGAATACAATTCAGACTCCGTCAGTGTTAGAAGGATAATTTTAGAACAATAAGAACATAATGAAATCTAATTGTGGTGTGGTACCTGTCAACTACCAAGTGCTGCTACTTGATAGATCATGCGAGTTATTTTCTTTTCCTCTTCATGTATTATGCACGTCATCTCGATCTCCCTTCGCCTGGGTCTTTGAGTCTTTGGGTGGCGAGTAATCCGAATCCGTATTAGAACTTCATGTTGAATTCAAGATTCATCTAGAACATTAGAACAGGGGATCACGTTCAATAATGTTAGCGCTCTTTATTTTGTAGATCTTTTGCCTCTTACACTTCAATACTGCAGTCTGAATGCCCTCAACTGGAACATTTATGCTTCTCGGCATTTCTTGATGATCCTTCGCTCCTACAGAAATGGCAAAAATTGGCGAATCATGAGACACAAACCTCTACTCTTCAATATGTTCACTGGAGCCAGTCAGTCAGAACAGGAAATAACAAGGAATATGAATATACAACACGAAGGTGAAAATCAAGAATGGCCATCAAAGACTACCATTCAGAGGTGATTCTTCCCATAAAACGGCTATGATCGGCATTCGAGGCGTCACTGAAAGGGCCAGATACCACTTCACTCATATGAGAAGTTGGTAGTGCCAGTCTAGATCCACTTACTCGCTTCTTATGCAAGAATATCAAAGGTTCCACCTACGTGGATGGCTTTTGTATCCTTAAAACTACGTGAAGCTGGTATCTGCTGCTAGCGTAGTGATTTCCAAGTGGTACATCACAACTCTTGAGAAGTCTATAAAGAGCAGAGGAATTCCCAGCTCAAATAACATCAATCACATCATCAATCACTTCAATCACATCAACAAGCCCTTCAATAAACAACATTTACCAGCTACCTCAAGCTTTCAAACTTCCAACACTTCATTCAAAATGCACGCCTCATTTTCCGCCGTCGTCACCACACTCCTCGCTGTCAGCGTCGCTGCTCTCCCAAACGTAAGTTTCTGATATCTCACCTCTTCTGATCTATCAAGCTGACATTGAAACCCAGAACAATGGCGGTAGCCCAACCACCACCTGGGGCAGCACTTCCCCAACCGGCGCTCCCACTTGCTCCGGCAGCAAATACACATGTGTATCCAACGGACTTCTCACCCTCCTCACCTGCACCAACATCTTGAACGGTGTTGGCATTAGCATTCCAATCACTCTTAAGAACCGTGCTCTCGAGGAACGAGGAATTGAAGCCCGTACCAGCAAAGAAGATGGAGATTACTGCTGCACTTCCGCCGGATTGCTCACTCTCAGCTGTCTCAACGTTGCAAATGGTGTTCTCATCTACTTGCCAATCTCTCTATAAACAATGATCTTAGACTTTGATGGATAGAGGAGATGATGATGGTGCGGATATGAGATGAGGATTGGAAGAGGACTTGTTTTGTGAGAATTGGTGGGGAGGTGACATGGTTTCTGAAGCAGCTATTTTGTTTGTGTTCGCGTATACGATGATGAATTTGTTGAGGTGGTGAGAGGTTGATGCAGTTTTGCATAACATTCATTTAAATGCAAATCTATTATGATATATCATTTGGCTGTGCAACTTGATTCTCTTTCCACGCCGCTTGTTAAAAGGCCACGTTAAATAACGAAGCATTTGAAACTAATTCAAGTAAATTGACCCACCGATCTGGCTATGAAGTGGCGCCTAAGAGTTGCTTACAATCACTACGATGCAACTTGTCATAGAGATGTTCACATGCGACTCTAAAAACCAGCGCTATTAATGAATCAAATCCAGACACAAATACTAGGGTTCTAGGCTATTCGTTCTTGTAAAATCCAGGAATACAGCGTAAAAAGATATGATCAACAAATCTGTGTGGCCCTAACATCATAATAATTATCTTAATCACATGATCTCAAAATTTCATGTCATTTGATACTCGAACACATCATTAAAATGATTTATAGCAAGGGGGAGAGTGACTTTAATATGACCACGACTTTATATGATTATGGAATTAGAAATGACTTTCATTTCAGAACAATACCAAAGTTTAATTATAGTAAAAGGGCAATTATAAGGTTTTGGGCCGTCAGGACTATATTGCGTGAAGACGGAGGACTCTACTCCTTAAGGCATCACATCCTTCACAAGTATGAGTGTGATCTATCATATATTCTCTGCTTGGAAGCTCTGTGTGATTCCTCCCCTTCTATTCGTGATTCTATGAAGGTGGAAGCCTGCAAGTTTACTTGAATAATGGTCAATCTGCCGTCCGTCAACTCTGCAATCAACATGATAGAGTAGGAATCGTCGTTATCCATGAGTATTATCAGATTTTATGGACTTTGGTGTTTTCGTGTGCTTCATTATTGTACACAAATAAGTGAATCTCTTGTATTTGTATCCTGTTAATGTTGGCACGACTTCACTTGGTAATGTGTGAAGTCAACAGTGAATCCACTGGCTAGTTTTAGCTTAGCGAATCAACCACGCTCCTCCTGGTCCCATTCGAATTCATCATCGGGAGCTTAATACGGTCATCATATTCATGAATATACAACTACGAGTATGTACTAGCGGATAAATTAGCGACTATCTTCAACATAGCTTCTACTATATAAAGTTTATAATCTTCACATTTACCCAACACAACTACTAAGATTTATCTTGACAAAACCATATTGCTTATCGCTTAACATTGTATCAGCGAAAAGATTCTTATACAATTTACATACGAGACAAATCTCGCATCAGCAAAATGACCAGCGATACGTTGATCATGGATACCGATGGAGACCTAGTTCTCTTATTCGACCCAGAAGAGTGTTCATCGTCTCAAGCGGATGATACCTGGATTGACGCCGATTCATCAGAAGACGATTCACGGATCATAGATGCCGAGTCATCAAATGAAGAGTTCAAGAGTTTAACTATTTTAACAAACATATCACAGATCAACCCACCAGCCGACGAACCTTCCGATTTCAAAGATAGTTCGTGGGTCGAGCTGAAGCAAGTCCGCGTGTTAGTCTCTTCTAAACATATGTCTGTTGCTTCGCCAGTGTTCAAAACTATGCTCCAGGCAGACTCTCCAGAGGGTATCGAGCTGAAGAAAACCGGAAAGGTGGAGTTTTCGCTTCATGATGAGGATTCAAAGGCATGGAACATTTTACTCAACATCATACATGGACGATTCAGATCTGTCCCTTTGGATATCAATTTGCCCATGTTCACGCAAATTGCAGTCTTATGCGACAAGTACAAAATGCATGAGGTTGCTTATGCATTCACGCCAGCCTGGAAAATGTCGGCTGGCCACGACTGCGTGTCGGGAGAGGACATACCTCGCTGGATCTTCATAGCTTGGACTTTCAATATGACAGATGTACTTGAAGAGATCACGAAAGGCCTTGCTCTCAATTATACTGGGAATGGAATCCAAAAATTGTTCAGCATGATTAGTCTACCGATTCCCCAGATTGTTATGGGTAAGCATCTTAGGTTCTATTCAGTCTAAATCGTGTTTCTATTTGATCATATAGCAAGCGCTGACACGACTTTTATAGATGAGCTTGAAAATTCTCGGCAGCATGCAATTGCTGAATTGGTTGATATGTTTGATTACACCATACAGCGATATCAGGAAAGCAGTTCGAAATGTTCAATTCGCACCAGATGCGGTGAAGATAGAGTGTCTTACCGCAAGCAATGTGATGCAATGATACTAGGCATGCTATTGAAAGGTGCCATTGAGCAACAGATCTACCCACCTCCGACAAAACCATACAAAGAATGGTCTTTTTCTATCTTGGAAAAGAAGATCAAGTGTATCAAACCAACTTCATTGTGCGCTGCTATGTCATTGATACCAGATGTCCATTGCGATCAAGACCATGGAATCTCTGAGATTATGACATCATGGGTTAGACATACTGCAGACGAAGTCACTGGGCTTCAATTGACATCTTTGAAGAAGGACGCATCACCGGAGATTCAGTGGCCAATTCGACAAGAGTGAGAAAGTCTCATTTTTCGTGGCAAATATGGTGAACCTGTGAAGATTCGATCTTACTCCATGATTGAACATATGGATGGATCTTTGATATACTGGAGATTAGGACCTAAATCGTGCACTATCAGCCAGCGGTTGAGTGGACGGATATGATAAAAGATTCCATAGATATTGCAATATTCAATATACAACACAAAATGCAACTATTTTCTTGCCGTGTAAAAAATGTTACCATGTGAAAATAGAGAAAGAAGGTCTGAAAAGACAGGAAAGGTAATTGATAGATTGTAGACCCTTGATCATAAGTCCATGTCTACAATGCATCGAGAAGAAGGACATTACAGCCCGCTCGTTTGACGTTCCATGGTTGCCTCTCGCGCGTGTCGTTCGTGATGTTGTGAGACAATTGCGGGGCTTGCGCGGCTCGGTGGCGCAGTGGACATTTTGACAATTAATCACGTGCTCATGACAAGGCAGCACTTTGGATTCGGTTTGTTTTTGCATCTTCATTGCCTATTACTTATGCGTCTCCCTCGTTTTCCATCAAAATTCTTCCTACAGAACTCTACAAAACCTTTACAACGAGACTTAAGAATGGCGGGCCAACAACCAAAAATCCCCACCCGTGTGATGGTCATTTCAGACACCCATACCTTCGAATTCAACGACGCTGATATTCCTCTTTCACTCTCCAAAATCCCGTCAGATATAGATGTTCTTCTTCACTGTGGTGATCTTACTAGAGTTGGTGACTTATCCGAATATCGCAGCGCTCTTCAAATGTTAAAAGCCATCCCCGCCAAGTTAAAACTCGTGATTGCCGGAAATCACGACCGGACTTTGGATAAAACATGGGTTGTACGCAATCTTGGCCACCCATACACCAGCGAAGAATATAAAGAGGACTTAGAGGAATGTGCTGCGGGGAATGAGATTATGAAGGGTGAAATGGCGAGGGATGCTGGTGTTACTTACCTGGAGGAAGGGGTTCATGATTTTAGCCTGGAGAATGGAGCAGCGTTGAGGATCTATGCAAGTCCGTATACACCTGAATTTTGCGGGTTTGGATTCGCGTATGAAAGGTATCAGGATCGATTTAATGGACCAGATGAACTTGAATTGGGGATGCAAAGCGTGCCTGGCGCGGTGCGGATACCGAGTTTTGGAGAGGACGAAGGCGGTAAGAATATTGATATTGTCATGACCCATGGGCCTCCGATGGCCGTTTTAGATGAAGTTCATGGACGTGCTGGGCATGTAGGATGCTGTAATTTAATCAAGGCACTGGAAAGAGCAAAACCGACATTGTTTTGCTGCGGTCACATTCATGAAGCGCATGGTGCAGAAGTAGCGACTTGGGGAGAGAATGGCATTTCGAAGATGAGGAAAGTTGAATGTGGATGGCCGGGGTTGAATACTGAACATATTGAAGAAGGTAAAGAAACTCTAATGGTTAATGCAAGCATAATGAACCTGAGGTATCAGCCAACGCAAAAGCCTTGGTACATTGAACTAGCTCTACCTAAAAACATGGCAACGGAAATTGGGCTGTAAAGCTTGCATAGGAAATTAGCATTACATGAACACATTTACCCAGCGGATCTTCGTCGAAATCTGAACCACATTTTAATGAAAGACTACAACAAATTTTATATGCTTGTGTGAAGCCAACTAAAAGACACCGAACAAAGTTATCGTTAAAAAAATAAGCTATATAATATGTTATCACTTACTCGGCATCCTTCCCAGACCTTCTCCGTAATCTCGCCGGGAACTTGCCCTTGGGCGGTAAAACCCCCAGTGAGAAGTACTTAAAGTCTGGTTCGGGATTTTCACTACCAGTCAACTCAATATCAAATCTGGACAAAAACATCGCTATACTTCCGATAGATTCTTGTTTTGCGTAAAATCGACCTGGGCATATTTGCTGGCCACCACCATAAGGGATCCAGGAACCGCTGACCGTGTCCGTCGTGAGTTTGGGTTTTGCGATTTTTTCAGATGGATGTTTACCTGAATCCGATTTCCTTGGGCCGCTGTATGGATTATTGGGGTAAAGAATGAAACGTTCGGGCCAAAAACTATTAACATCATGCTCTCCATTTGCGCCTTCATTCCAGACATTTTTGTCATGGCCCGCGAACCAGATACTTGCTAGAATCATGGCTTCTTTGGGAAATCTCCATGGACCTAGCTTGAAGTGGGAGGAGACAGTACTTCGTTGAAGTGCCGCGGCGTTTCGCAATCTCAGCTCCTCACAATAGATTGATTGGAGGAGGAGGTTTGATAGAAGTTCAGGCATTTGTTGGACAAAATTTGCAGTCGGATGTAGTTTTGCAATGGAAGCAAGTTCGGACTGGACTTGTGAGAGTAGATCCGGACGACAAATGATATCTAGGATACACCAAGCGATTGCTGGAACACTATTGGAATTCGCACTGTGGAGGATCAGATTGCATTCAAATGATTAGGTTCTATATTGCAGGTCAGCTTACCCCCATATCAAGCCCAGATCGTTAGCCGCACGAGCCTGATCACCGAAGCCGTTGATCTTAGAAAGATGGCGTGCTCGATCCCGGAAAAGCCTTGAGCCGTAATATGGCTCCCATGTCTTTTTGTCAAGTTCCTTGTCATCATGATCAACATGTGCTTCTGCAGATCGATGCCATTCAAGGATACTCTTGACCATTTTATCTCTTATCTTGTACGCGCCGGGGATGAAAAATCTTGGAATACCCCTAAGTGGTCCTCCAACCTGAGAATCAAAGTTCCAAAAGTCCTCGGTAAATGTAGGATTAATCTCAAATATATGAGACCCACAAAGAGCAAGGGTGTTAGCATTGAATACTGCATTTTGTACAAAAGAGTACATATCCGGTATCTCCAGCCATTCGTTCGTTCCTATGTTAATTTTGTCCAGCTCTGTGCTGAGATTAGTTAGAAATCGAGTTACCACTTCTGCCAGTTTTACACCAGTGAGGTTATCAGTATACGCCTGATGTGAAATATGATGATAACGTTGATCTGCGGGCAAAGGGTTGCTATCTGGCAGTGGCTTTGGTGAGGTTCCAGTGTTGTCATCCAAAAGTACAGAACTGGCCTCTGGAGGAGCGCCAAATATTCGTTCTACGATAGCCGCCATGGCAGGAATGGCAGTAAGATCTCGAGAGCCGCGGAACAATTTGAGGATATATTCTGGCCCTGAAACAAAGTAAAAGCTATCGGAGGCGACTCGAATTCGAACAGGTACATGAGGACCGAAACGTTTTCTGGTCGCATGCATGAGCAAACTCGAATGACCATAGAATTGCCATATGCTTACATGAGATGTGCCATATATCCACGAGTGTCAAAAGAAAATGCTAAAAGGTTGCCAAGTATGAAATCCGCTGATGGATCAATCGCGGGCAATTTGTCATTCTTTTTACTGCGCACAGCAATGACAGATTTAATTGTTGTGACAAGGTAAGACAGGAGGAAGGGCAAAATGCAGACAGACACGGCCGTCGCCTTCCAGCCCCCATAAATATAGATGGTATCCAGTATTTTCATATTCAATGCCACATTTTTCAAGGACCTCGGGAGAGAAAGACCTGGCAGAGAATGAATTATAACTTATATTTCTATCTCTTTTTATTCCCAAATATTTAACGAGATAGGCCTATCTCAATAAATTGTGGCACTTGCCTTTTATTGTTCTTAGTATTGTTCCTTGACCCTTCAAAATGCAGGGACAAAAGTTTGCAATTTACATATCGTAGGAAGTTCTTTGTTGTCACAGGTGTATTCCAACCATCTCCATCTAGCAGTGGTATCATTCCAATATTCCATCTTATTCAGTTGAAAATTCGCCCGTGAAAAGATAATAGAAGACTTCAACTAATTTCATCACGATGATAGCAAGAGTTGGTATCGACGAACACACATTTGGTCTTGGGAGATTAAAGATGGACAGGAATGAAGAAATGAAGCCGACATTCGGTGGTTACATAAGCCTTTTAATGGCGCCTCTCACCACCCGCTGGTCTCGTTTCATTTTCTTCAACCAGCCATTCAGAGCTTCAAACAATGCAATTGTCTCTCTGTATAAGACAGATAAGAAAAACAACAACGCACCAACCTGTTTGCAGCATTCTTTATGTTAAGTCATCACAGTGTTAGAGAAGTGTCCGAGATTCCATTCTTTGTCTATCTGCCAAGACATATTCTTCCATGAGTAACGTTTATATCCTGCTATTTATGTTCAAAAATGCTGATGGATTTACCATGATAACCATTACCTAGATTATTTCTGCGTGTATGTTGTTATATTGTTATATCATCACCAGAACAATTTCCATGCAAGGCTCTGCGAAATGAACAATTTGATAAAATACAAAGGATGCCACACTCCAAACTTCACTCCTCATTACTACAATCTTGATCTTCCGGCCAGTGCAACTCAAGAGGATATTGAACAAGCACACCGTCGCCTTCTCCAATTAGTCCATCCAGATAATTTACGAGGTCCGGAGCAAAATAGCAATGCCGAAACTGCCATTCAACTTATCAACGAGGCTTACGAGGTACTGAGAGACGACGAGAAACGTTTCTATCATCTAATGGTTTGTGAAAAGACTTTTGGTTGTCGTTTCAAATCCGATTATCGACAGAGGTTTGGAGTTGATTTTTGGAACAGTCGGTGGGTAAGAAAACATCATGAAATTGACAGCTTCGCGCCTAAACCGTGGCCGTGGGATTATGACACTTTATCAACCGAATTAATGTGTCCTACCGGGAAAAATGCCGGTTTTCAATTTTGTACCACGACCTGGGTGAATGTGGCTCATATACTTATGGACAACCTGCTACCTTACTCTGTGAGCGACAGTATATGGCGTCGTGTTGAGACCTGGAGAAGTGGGAACCCTAGTAATGAAACGATTAAGGACGTGTATCTCGACTTTCAAAGGGGTTGCGATAACTTTAAGGTTCTGGTAGAAAAGAGAGAAGCTTACATACCATGGTCACAGATTCCAGCAAACATTGATTGGCCAACTTTAGGCAGGCGTTGTTCACTATTTTGTGTCGATATTTTGACTGTACCTTTCAGTATTTTCTGCATCATTTTTTTCCTCTTGGCTTTAGTTAGTCTCCAGACTATCAAGAAGCCTGAAACAAAGCGACGACGGCGAGTCTTTCGGCCCCCATCAGCGAGATCTAGTCGACCGTCAACTTATCGAACAGTAGAAAATGACATAGCACAGTCACAAACTCAGTCTCAGACTAGAGCATCGCAACGACAAAGATATTTTTACCCTTCAGAGAGAGACTATTACGCAGATGAAGATTCCACACCGTTATACAGTTTAGGAAAACCGCAAAGTTACTCTGTAAAGGAAGTCTCAAGTCGATATACAGATCCTTCAGATAAATCAAAATCAACACAGTTTTCCAGCGTTATAACAAGACAGGGCCGAGCTACAAATCCTGTTACCACTAATTCGACAACCAGTTCAATGTCAAGACGAAAGAAGGGCCCAAAAGAGCCTCAGCCTCGCTCCGCAAGTCCAAGTTCAAGTCCAAGTTCAAGTCCAAGTTCCTCTACTTCAGCATCCTCCTCAACCCAATCCCTCAACCTCAAAGCACAAAGACTACCCTCCCCCACCAACGCTTCCCAATTTTTCTCCCTCAACCCCTCCGAAAAACACTACTACTACTCCACCAACGATCTTCCCCTACGCGAACGACGCAATATCTCTACATCCTACCCACCCACCCGTCAGCGATACGTGCACTACGAAGACGAAAAAGACTGGGCAGACGATGAGCGAACACCACGTCTCTGCATGGCTTCAACAGCAACGGGAAAACAATGTTCAAGAAGAGTTTCATTGGTGACGCCGCTGAGTGGAAGTACTGTGGAGGCGTTGATTAGTCCGCTTTGTTTTCAGCATCGGCATGTAAGGAAATGGATTAGGGGAGCTCACGAGAGAGGTCCACCTGTGGAGGAGAGTGTTTCTTCAGTGGAAATGGATAGGTTGCCGGAGGAGGAGACCACGAGGCCTTCGGTACGGTTCTTGAATGATGATGATGAGGATGACGAGTATTAGTCCAAATCATCAGCCTGATTTGCACTAAATTTTATTTCTATTTGGAAACTTGTGTTATAAAAATTTTCAAGGGAACTTAACATATCAGAATTCAACATAGATACCACAAACACACAAGAGATACAAAAACTCACTAGGACTTTGATTATAATCAGCAGATTTCTGTCTCTGTATTGACTCATAACCCCATATTTAAACCCCCTATCCTAAAGTCTATCCTCGCTGTTACCATTCCCACTCTCTACATATACCGTACATTAGCGCTTGGCCTTCATTTCCAACTTCATCTCGTTCCCTCAGAAAATACATGATTGCGTCTGAATATACCTACGTTCTTGGTAGTCCCAGAACTAGGTAGACTCTCGACCTTGAGGATTGGCAGTAGAGTAAATAACCGCATCACACATAACCCGTCATACCTCCTCATCCCCAAACCCACATTCCTACCAGGAATATTCATCCGTACTCTACTCAACCCATTTACACAACTTCAGATAATCATTATCTGATCCTTCAAAAGAGTTTTATAAACTATCCATCTCTCACCCTTAATTAATATCTGTACATTCACGGACTAATTTCTTGTAATGCTCTCGTGTGAAATGATTCAGTTGTCAGTTCCACAGTTTGTGTAAACAATTTAAGGTTGTGGAGTGATGTTGACTAGATGCTTATTATTTGATACTCGGATGATATGATATCTACCCAGTAAATGATCCCATATGAAAAGTATCGTGGTATCTAAATGGTTTAGCAGAATAAATATTCTACTCCATCAAATCAAAGGATAGTACGGTATTATCTACCGGAACGGCGAGAATAACTCAACCTTCATTTTGCCTCCATCGAATATCCACAAGCCCGAAACTCAAGAATCGCAGCATGAGACGGTACCCAGAGGAACAATCAACGTAACGAAATTTCCTTATCAAATTAACCTCACATATATATTTCAAACTCCTCATAATCTCATAAAAACCCATGGTATCTATCTATCAACCAATCAATCCATCTAACCATCTGACCCCCAACCACCAAACCTAAACCCAAACCTCTAAACCACACTCCCATTCTTCCCATCCGCATCACTTACACCCCCATACTCTACCCTCTCCTCCTGCACCCCCTTCCCCTCCCCCACAACCACATCCCTCACCCTCTCATCCAACAAACTCCCCCGGGTCTCGTCTTCCACGGTTTGGGGCCCCCCTTCGCAAAAAGCAATTCAATCTCCTCGAGCGTCTTCCCCGCCGTCTCAGGATACGTAAAAAACGCCTGCACCGCCGCCGCAAAACACAGCACCCCAAAAATAATAAAAAGTTTCCAACTAATATTCTGAAACGCGCTTGGTATAAACAATCCAATGGCGAAATTGAAGAGCCAATTTGCTATCGACGCGAGCGCCATGCCCGTGGCACGGGTCTCCAACGACCAGACTTCCGCCGCGTAGACCCAGGCAATAGGCGCGAGCGTTACGGAGTAGAGAAGTACGAGAATGTAGCAGAAGGCGATAACGGTGTAGGCTGGAGAGCCGGAGACTTGCACGCGCACGCTGAGATTGCCGTCGAGACCGTCGGGGAGGTAGGTGCCGTAGGAGCCGAGGATGCCGCCGACGACGAACATGCAGATGCCCATTCCGAGGGCGCCGTAGATCTGGTTGGTTTGGGTTAGAGGATTTTTTGGGTTGTTATGGGAGAATGGGTTTGATTAATGGAAAAGGAATACTTACGAGTAACGGTCTTCGACCAGTTTTGTCGATAAAGAAGAAAGTTGCTGCAGTGCCGATGATGAAAATAGCGTATTGGATACCAGACGAAACAAGTCCGATGTTTCCTGTCAAGCTAGCCATCTCGAAAATATAAACCACGTAATAAGTCATCACATTCGCACCGCTCAGCTGTTGCCATGCCTGTACAGACGTACCCGCCAATGTACGTTTCCACATTCCGTTTTTGAAGAATCGTCTCCACCCTTTCTGGCCTTCGCGTTCGGCAGCAAGAATGGTGGTGATTTCCTCCCATTCGGCGATTACGAGTGGATCGTTGATATTACCGCCTGCTTGGATATCTGCCAGAATAGCGATGGCTTCTTTTTCGCGTCCGACTTTTGCTAGCCAGCGAGGTGAGCGAGGAAGAAATGGGATACCCATCATAAGAATGACACAGGGAATAAATTGCATAGCCCATGCGGTACGGAATGATGCTGTGGGAGTGGACTTGATAAAACTGCATCCGTATCCCACAAAATACATGATGAAGATACCCCATTCAATAGCCCATTGTTGAATAACGATAATGGATCCCCGACTTTCTTTCTTAGCAATCTCGGCGAGATATACAGGTGCTTGTGAGGAAGTGATGCCTACGCAGATACCATTGATGAAACGACCAGCAACTAACATACCAATTCCATTACAGGAAGTTTGGAGAGCGGTGCCGAGTAACCACCAGATACAAGCGAAGAATAAGGAGTCTCGACGACCGTACTTGTTGGATACGGGACCAGCCATGATGGCACCGATGACTGAACCACCAGCCAAGGCTGAACCGATACCTCCTTGAACGACACCTTGGGGATTGTCGAAGTAGTCTATGTATTGGCTAGTACCGATGATGGCTGACATAGATGAAATATCGAAACCAAACCTAAATACGATTCGTTAGACTCGTTGTTCATATTCTGAGATTTGGGCTGTGGGTTGTAAATTGTAAACTTGGCACTTACAGCATTCCACCTACAGTGGCGATAGAAGCCAGAAAGTAGACATTGTTGATCTTTGGGAGATGCACCATTTTGAGCAGTAGAGATCTAGGAAATCTTTCTTCCCTGGAGAGAGTCGAAGTCAAAGGATGAGAAATTCACTCATCTATATATAATGATAACATCGCATGGGGAATTTACATACCAAAATGTTTTTCCGGGACTTGATACGAAATTTGTGGGACACCCCATGGAGAGAACTCCAAAAGATTAATTATCGTGTGTCATTGGTGCGCATATTACTTCCACAACATCTATTCTCTATAAAGTTGAGATCGACGAGATGGTTGTTTTAATGTCGTACTATGTTTCTTTACGGTGGAGGTTATTCAGGGCCCGTGCTTTCACCTACAATCCAAATATTGAGTAATGTCGAATCACGGTAAACTTTGAAAGCATCGAATCACTCGTAACATTAGATCGGGCCGTTAACCAGGTCCGGTTTTCTCTTATTGTTCATAGGAGCGCATGCATGTGATATGGCTCAACGCTGACGTATAGTTGTGCGGGCATCACAGGAATTCATTCGTTGTGGAAATGTTGGGGCAATGCTCCAGGTTTTTTTGACAGCGTGAATCTTGGTTTGGGGTCTCCAGAGAAACTGAAGTGCAATGTATCCACAATGTGTGGGTACAACTTTCGTGATATACCACGGCAATAACAAGCGGCATCGCCAAAAGTAGAATGTCGAAACTTCAAATGTAAATGTGGTCCATAGTTCAATATTTGGCACAGGTTTTGAAAGGTACGGCTATGTAATAAAGGGTGACATTTGAGATGCATGTCGGTAGATATCACAGACGTATCGGCCAATAGATATATGTGACGTAGGTGCCGTGCGTCCCGGAGGAACATTTGTGGATCCTCACGGACAGTACCATGTCCAAATCACTGATGATCACATGTATGAATTCCAAATTCTGCATTCACCAAAAGACTAAAGGAGAAACACAATTCAATTATTCTAATCATTCTAAAACAACTATAAAGCAATCGCTCGCTGCGGCATCCAACATAGACCTGGGAATAATTCTTGTTCACTCGGACAAAACGTTTGACAAGGGCAGCGAAGTGACTGTCCATATTGAAAAGGCGGATACCAATCGGAGTATTCTGTCTTGATGACCATCAAAATTCAAGGGACCGCCTTACTCCAAGTCTATTGAGAATCTTTTCCTCAACGAGGCGCCATAGTAATAAAATAGTATAGGACTTGGAGCAATTGCAACGCTCAAAAATGCAAAAATGCTCAGTCCCCATCCAACTCCAATGTTGTCCAAAATGCTTGGCGTGATTAGAGGTACAATTCCTCCGAAAATACTTCTAAAAAATGCACCAGCTGCAATGGCACTTGCCGCATATTTCTCAAAACTATCGATGTAATAATTCTGTACGGTATTGAAGATAGCAACCTGTCCAATACCATAAAAGAAAGTAGCTATGAGTGTAAAGGCCCAGTGTACGCGGTACTCCACCATCCAGGCAAATGAAAATAATGTGATGGGAATTAGAACTGCGCCGATATTTGCAAGGGGAAGACGAAATTCAGGTTTTGCTTCGCCCTTATTCTTTTGTGTAAGGTGATTTCGAATATCGTCGATTCTCGGAACTAGGAATCTTACTGCCGAAAGAAACCCAAATCCTGGGGCAAGATATACAAGTCCTACTTGAACAGTGCTAAAGCCGTATCCATCGCCATAGATTCGTGAAAATTGGGTATAAAGACTGTATGTTGTGGCGAAAATGAGAGCTTGATATGTTGACATAATCAAAACTATAGGCTGAGTAAATAGTATCTTTAGTGGTCGATGAACTGCTTGAATAGCTTTTGATGAGAATGGTCTCAAATCTTCTCCTTCGAAATAATATTTAACATCTGAGCGTTCTTCAAGTTCCTTCTTTCGATGAGTAAGAAGAATAGGAACATAAGTTTCGTGCAGAAAAAAATATACGCCAACGAACACGACACCACATATCATCAACAAGATCCAGAATAGCCATGGCCATTTGAGATTTTGTAAAATAACGCCTCCCAGAAGAGGCCCAATTGTCGGTCCTAGAAGTGGCCCTAGGAGATACCACCCGAAAACACCTGCTCGTTCACTCGGCAGATACATGTCAGAGATGGTTCCACCTCCATTGGCAATGGAAACACCTGTACGAAGTCAGCGATGCTCTGTTTATGTGGAGATAAAGGAGTATTACTCCCAAAGAATCCAGTGATGGAGCGAAACGTGATGAGTGTAGCGATATTTGGACTTAGCGCAGTTGGAATCTGGAGCAACGTAAAGATACCAAAGCAGATCAAGTACACGGGCTTTCGACCAAAGGTTTCAGACAGAGGAGCAAGCAAAAGACTACCATGTCTACATGTCAGTACGACGTAGATAGTAGAGATGTGATGAATTTTCTCACGGTCCAATTCCAAGCATGATAACGAAGCCGGTCTGACATGCGATTACAGCCTGGGCTGTTGTGTCCAACGATTCCGCGATCTGATTAATACCAGGTGCAAACATACTACTTGCAAGTGGTGATAAAACTATCTAGTATTAGCGTCAAAGCGGAGTGAGGAATCATCAGATACATACTAGCCATGGTAGCAATGACAGCGATGTTTCCCAGTTTCTTCCACTTCGACCAATTTCTCGGATTTTCATCATCGTGCTCTGAGAATTCGAGTAACTGGACCACACGTCAATCGACAGGCATTGGAGTACCAGGTGGATGGGAATACTAACTTCTTTGTTGTCACCAGCCTCTTCATGTTGAATGAGTGGCGACCTCTCGTGCGCGATTCCAGGCATATTTCTGGGATGCATGTTGAAGCGTAGAGTTCAATGATTATGAAATGTCAAATGCAGCAATGAAACCAATAATCTATAGGAATAAATAATAATAAACGCTGGCTGCTTGATGGACAGAATGAAAGAATGATAGAAGGTGCGTAGAAAACGATGTCGATTTTTCAATGACGTTGAGACACTAAATACCGTACTTATGCCCAGTAGTTCTGGTTCCAAGATTCAAAGGGAAAAGAAAAAGGAAAAGGGAACTCAAGGAGTATATTGAATCGATAAGGGATATTTGTTATTCCTCACTGAACTTTTTGATGATTCAATTCATGATGCTTACTACCGTCAACTTCCATCTACCTACCTAGGTGCTCAGTCGGGATATGTACATCAACATCACTTCATTCTGTCTTTGTCTTCACTTCTTCAGCTGTTCAATGCGTGTGGGGAATCCCTGTAGGTAGATGATCCGTGATATCACGTGCTTTTGATGGTTTTCGCGTTGCGCTAACTTTGGAACGCGTTGTTCTCATAAGCTGTGGCGCGACGGTCGCTGCTGCCTTCTTTATTGCTCACACCACCGTATCATTCCATTCATCTATCGCCGTTTCGAGACCGAATGAGTTATAATTCGTGAACTATGGATAGATGATCGCGATTTGATTCTCTGTCATCTCGAATTTTCACCGTGATCAAAGATGGAAGATGAAATTCCGAGGACGAGGATATAATTCATGTGGTTGACAAAAGTTCGTGATTCTTGCCATCAAAATGGGTAGTCGCCTGGAAAAGAATTCAGAGTCGGTTCGAAAGCGCATCGAATCGCATACTTTCCAAAGCGAAGGTGGTGAAGAGTATGAAAGCTCAAAATTTGGAGGCTTTTCGGATTATTTTCGGCGCAAAAGGATTAAATTACAAAATTTGGATGCAGAAGTCCGCTCTACATCGACTGGAAATCTAAATATCTTTCGCGGTATCGTGGCGCATGTTAATGGCTACACACAACCCTCCTTGAGTGATCTTCATCGCATGATAGTATCTCATGGCGGTGGTTTCATGCAATACTTGGATGGAAAAACTGCAGTCACTCATATCATAGCGTCAACTCTGACCCCCAAAAAAGCAATCGAGTTTAAGAGATATAGAATTGTGAAACCAGCTTGGGTGGTAGATAGTGTGAAGGCTGGAAAATGTCTTCCGTGGGATTCTTATCGTGTTCTTGATGAGGGAGTCGCTCAACGATTACTTGGATTTAATAATGGGAAAGTTGTTAATCAATCGGCAACCCCACAAAGAGGATACCGCGATCAAACAAATGCAAGTTGGTACACCAGTCAGGTCAAAAATGTTGCCCAAAATATTGATGACGATGATGGGCCTCAGTTTCCGAGCTCCCAGGTACAAAAGATCATGTCGCATAATCCTGGCACACTAACACAATCACCTGCTGATCAAACAGTTGAAAGCATCGAGGAAGTCGACCAAATCCCGGTTTATGATCCTATAAGCTCAGGTGGAAGCTTTGAAGTTTCATCATCCTTGGAAGAAGCCTTGAAGCACGCCGCCAATGTTAATATCCCTGCTCGAAAAGCAGCATTAAAGTCTATACAGATACCAAAGGACAATTTTCTTATGAAGAAATCTCCTTCACATTCCCCTGACCTTCAGATCTCGTCAAGTCCAACAGCTGTCACTCCAACTAAACCAAAATTACCCACACGTCTCAGAAAAGAAGCACATGATGTTGAAAGGTCGCCTCCACCTGAACTCATGCCTAATGAACCTAGATCCTTTCTTAACACCAGGAAAAGATCAAACGATGAAGAAATAACGAACACTCCCAAGAAGGCAAAGATTGAGACTGCAGAAGAACACAACGCAAAATTGTTAGCAGACCCTCATATGCGAAAGTCGACGACTGCAAACCCGGACTTTATCAAGCAATACTATTCCGAATCTCGGCTACATCATTTATCTACCTGGAAGGCAGATCTTAAATCAAAATTTCAGCAGATGGCATCCGAGAAGTCGGCCTCTCAAAAACAGACAACAAAGCGAAAACCTGGCTCCCGAAGATACATCATGCATGTAGATTTCGATAGTTTCTTTTGTGCAGTATCTCTCAAAAGTGCACCTGAATTTGTCGACAAACCTGCAGTTGTTGCTCATGGCAGTGGGACGGGATCTGAAATTGCTAGTTGCAACTATCCGGCTCGTGAATTTGGCATCAAAAATGG